TTTTTTTTTGTAATTTATTGTTGGTTTCTCAAACTTCTGAAAGTTTTAAGCTTTATAGCTAAGTATAAAAAAAAATCTCATGAACTAAAAACCTTGAGAAATTTAAAAAAAAGTCAAAAACTGAAATTGTCTCTACCATTATTCTAGGGAAAAATTATATATATATATATATATATATATAATTTATAATTACAGTAAATTAATAAGTTTTATTTACGGCGCACAATCTGCAAGTATATAGAACTCATAAAATAAGATAAAAATATGTAGAAAACATGGAAAATTATAAAGATTAATGAAAAAAAAATATTAAAATAACATTTTATTAAAAAATATTAAAAAACATTTTTAAAAAGTATATATTAAAAAGCCGGAAAATAAAAAAATAAAAATATGTAATCTTTTTATCCTTTTTGCGTTTATTGTGCTATATATATATTTCAAGCTATTGATATTTACTGTCTGAGCAGAAAGCCTACCGTATTACCGAAACAGGGAAATTGGTTTACGAAATCTTAGAGCTTTGTCTGGAAGTCCTCTCGGCCAACAACATGTGATTGCGAGAGTGCTTTACTTTCTTTTATTAAACACTGATTTTTTAAATACTTGATCTGAAATTTTTTTTTTTTATGTAGTTTTCTTAACGTTGGTCGAAAAAGGATTTTTCACGAATCTCATATGTTTTAAGCTAATAAAAACGTTTTGTCTCCCAAATTGTAATCTAAATCAAACAACAAAAAAATTTGAAAGTAACTTCAAAGAAATATTAGTGACATTCAAATTCATTCCTTGAAGGTACAAGGGTAAAGTAAAAAGAAAGCAATTTTCCCTTTTCTTCGCCCTTTTGTTATTTATTTCCTTTTTAATGAGTTTTAAGTGCTTTATTACTGCTTTGATTAAATTTCAGCTTGTCATTTTATTTAATAAAACTGTCTTTAATAAAACTTTATAAACGATCTAGGATTTAAATGGATTTTTTTAACGATTTACTAACTTAATGATTTTTTTCGTTATAGAGTAAGTTTGAAAATTACCCTCATATGTACAAACGTTTCCACCGCATGTCAGATTTATAAAATTTTGTTGTGTCTTACAATTTTTAAAGAAAACATACAAAGTCATTTTACAACACAATAGATGGTTTTGAGTTTTCTTCTTCCGTGTTCCAAATTATTCTACTATACCATTTAATGTTTTTTTTAAAAACAATAGTAAGTATACCTTATTTATTTACAGGTATATAAAGATGTCCAGCCCATACTTAAATAATATAATTGTAGTGGGATGTATGTTAACGTATACTAGTGTTATTTTACTTGGAATGGACAGCGGAATTAGTAACGAAGCCAATTTTACAAAGATATGTGCTGTAAGTATACTTTTTGAACAATGGTCGAAAGTAGTGCACTTCAAGTAGTGAAACTACTGCTACCTTTTTCGTAGTTTGTAGCGTAGTGTGCTACTGTTAAAAAATAGTATACTGAGTAGTGTGATACCAAAAAACAGTAGTTTGTAGCAATTCCTGTCAACTACTTTTTACGTTTTTAGTATATGAACAGGGTTCCAACACAAGTAATTTTTTGAATTTGATGGGTATAACTCTTCCCAGGTCTGTCAAAAGACGCAATTTTGAATGCCCCTGTGGCTGTGAGTTAACAAGAATTGCGTATTTGGAGTTACGTATAAAAAATATTTAAGCTAGCCATGATGAATAATAGATAATTTATCTCTTTGGTCTCACTTTCACATGCGAATATAGGCTCGTAAAACATTGAAGATATTTCAAAGGAAGAAAACATATTTTCGATGTGCTTAATTTCTTAGAAGAAATGAAAAAGCATTAAGCATTTGACCAAATTACAAGTATTTTATAATTTATTGTATTTGATAGTTTATTTTATAATTAAATAACATCTCTTAAATTAAATATTAGCTGTCAAGAAGGACATAAAAGAAAAAATTCGAAAGAAATGTTTTAGAATTACAAACTGACTCATGTAAACGTGAATAAATATTTCTTCATAATTATTCGTGCTTAATGTAAACCAATTTTTTTATTAAACACCTTTTTGAACATAATGTGTAAATTAATTTCTCAAGTCGTGTAAATTATGCAGGTGTAAATTAATTTTTCCTGCAAAGTTCGGTTCCTTAAAGGAGTGAAGTAGACACTAGTATTCCAAAGTAGTTTGTAGTCAACTACATTTAAAAAAAGTAGTTGTAATTGTACTTTACTACATTTTTAACAAAGTAGTTGTAGTAAACTACAAAAACTACAGTATTACACGACAAAAACTACAGTATTAAACTACAAAAACTACAGTAGTAAACTACAAAAACTACAGTAGTAAACTACAAAAACTACAGTAGTGAACTACAAAAACTGCAGTAGTAAACTACAAAAACTGCTGCAGTAAACTACAAATTTTTTCCGACCACTGCTTTTGAAATGATTGTGTATTTGCTTGATATTGCATTTTCTATGCGTGTTGTATGCATTGACATCATATTTTTGTTTAGGCGAGAGCGTGGGTTTTGATGTCTGGATTTACGTTTGCGTTCGGCTCCATGTTCAGCAAAACTTGGCGAGTTCACGCAATCTTCACAAATATTAAGCTCAATAAAAAGGTAAGATTTAACACTATTACTTTATAATTTCTTAATTCGCTGTAGTTTTATTTATAGAAAGTTATAATTTGAACCTTATATAAAGTGAGAATAATGAAGTGAGTATAGTGAGAATACAGTGCCATAAGAAATACATTATAAAAAATTTAGTGTATATGAACACTTAAAATAGTGGCAACTATAATTTAAAACAAAGTTCTGTTTTCCCAAGTGTACGCACTACACAAAAAATCAAATATAGTTCCTGAGGTAGTGGGCAAAAACTACTATGACTTTTACACTACTAGATGTAAAGTAGTGATCACCTTGTTTGTTATCAGTAACACAAAAATTTACAATTACAGAAGGCTATGATACACTTAAGATTTAGCAAAACTATTTTTATGATACAATCTAAAGCAAAAATCATTGATTTAGGATGCATGATTACAATGTTTCTTAAAATAAAGTTAATTTGTAAAGGGGTCAGCAGACCTTTCAAATGATTTTTTATTTATTTTTGATGCTTGAAACCTTTTTCTTTTTCGTGGATCAGTTGTACATATAACAAAATTAATATATTAAATTTCAATTGAAAATATTACACAATGCTGAAGATAATATTTAAAACATACTTTCAAATAAATCTAATTTCAAGAAATGTAACTTGTAGTATAAATCTTTAAAAATTGTTTAATTTTTAAAAAATTTGGTAATGAATAAGACTGAGAATAAATGTTGCATGAAAGGAAGAAAGAAAAAAAGAATAAAATTTAAAATTTATATAAAAATACTCTTTAATCAAAACATTTGCAGTTAAAATTTCATTTGTGAATTTATTTCAGTAATATTTGTTGTAGAACTTATTTGTGGAAGAAAACTAAATTAAAATATTTTGGAAGAAATTTGTTAAGGAAGATTTATTTTTCATGACAAGTACTTACATTATTAAACAATTTAATGTATTAATAAATGTTTTAAATTTTTTTATTGAAATTTGAAATATAAAGTACCTTATACGCACAGTTCACTCATAATTAATAATCAATACCGATGATTAAATATTAAAATAAATAAAAATCATTTTTAAGAGCATGGTGAGAATATAAATATCTATTTGAACAAAGCTTAACAAGGAAAAAATAGATAGAAAATAATTATCATAAAGCGATTTAATAATTTAATGCAATCGGAAGACTTGTGAACTTATTCTTTTGGTCTATTATCGCTTTGGTCTACTGTCTGAGCAGAAAGCCTACC